AAATAAATAATAATAACTTTATTAATGTCTCTAATTCTTCTAGCCGGGCACAAGTGCTCTACTAATCGGGGATACAAAAATAGGTCACCCTGTTTGTTTTCACGCTTTCTCTAGTTCCTAAAATATATTACAATGAAAAAAAGCCCGAGTCGATTTGATGATGTAATAAACATCCTGTAAAAACAACACGTAGGAACTGGGATTTGGAGAAAGTGGTTAAAAATGTAAGATTTGTTGATTTGAATGCAAGGCGATATTTTTAACTCGCTCGTAAACAAAAGAAAACAAAAACAAAAAACAAAAAACRAAACAAAAARCTCGGATATTTCTGAATTTAGCGCATTTAGTAGCACAACTGAGCACAGAAAATCTATTGATTGYTATATTTTTATGCTCGGTTTTTGGCCTATTTTGAGCGCAACTTCTTGCAATCGATAGATTTTCTCCAACTCGGCAGACAAACTTATGACAATCTATTTTCCAAAAATCTTTAGTTTTATGGATATTGATCGATTTTAACGCGAACACGAGAACAATATCGTGAGAAATCGGCCCGTAACGCCAAAACGCGAGTAAAAAATCAAATTTCGAATAGACCGTTAAAAGCCTTAATGTCTGAGCTACTACCGACATGTACTAAATTCAGAAATATCCGTGTTTTTGACGCGAATTTTACAATTCAATTTTCGTCAGTCCGATATTTTAAAAATTATTATTCTGATTGGCTGCGCGAGCGATATCCTGACGTGAGACGATGGTAGTCTGCGCGCGAGATAACGTATTGATAGAGAACAAAACAAATTGCAAAACAAGAGTAAATGTTACGTATATTCAAAACCTTGGGCACCGTTTTTCTATCCCGACCTCCTGGCTGGTAAATAACCGCTATGTATATCTTTTATTCCGACGAAGGACTAGCGTCCCAAACGTCAGTAAGTTTTTTCATCTTTTCACGGTTTATAAYTTACCTTTTTATCATTACTGTTTCATTAGAAACACCGACGCAGCTCACACTAGTTTTTAGCTAGTTATCTCTTCTGTATATTAAAGAGGTGCGTCGGTACTGTCTCCTGAAGGAATTGCCTACATGTGATCTACTATAATGCTCTCCCTTTACTTTCACCCAAATAAATAGCCTTAATCAGCTCCACAAGAATACTCAAAGATAATGCTTCTTAGTATAAACCTACTAGCATACTATCACGAATCCTGCAATCTGATTGGCTCACGTACTTACTATCTATCCTGTGATAGCGAGTAGCGAAAAATAAACAGGTGCATGCTCAAGTTTCGTCGAAATCTCTGCTTGTTCTCTGAAAAAWTTTTAAAAATCGATTGGAGAAAAGACAAGATTCTATCAAGGAAAGGAATTGAGGTTTTGAACGGTAAAGAAAAGTAAAAACTGAAGAATTATGGCAATTTTAACACGAAAAAGCGACACATGAAAATCTCAGTGAAATCTGACGGCGCCGTCAGATTTCACTGATATTTTCATGTGCAAACTTAACGACGGACAAACAACTGACTACTGAGATAATGATGGCTTTTTAAAAGGATTCCCTCAAAGAACAGAAAAGAATCTTATATTAAGCAAATTGTAAACATGACACGGCTTTGACAACAAAGTATTTGTTAATAAATTATTTCAGTAAATCACTCATTAATTAGAAAAATGATCCCAAGAACTGATGAGATAAAGAACATTAGAACAATAGTCTTGACAGTAATAATAGAGACAAAAAGCTATAAGAATAGAGCTTTACGTTATACTTCGAGTCGAGTTCGCAAATATGAATGAAAACAGTGCTGCCGAAACAGTGATAGATTGTGGCAATTCTACTTTCTTGTAAAATCCTTAATTTAGAATCTAAAAATCACAATAAATTCAGCTTTTACAATTTTTTTTCTTTTTTACAACGTCAATAATCCTACACTTTTCATAGATTTTAAGAATAAATTCAAATGATTAGAAAAGGTACCTTTTTAGTTGACAAAAAGGTAGAAAATTTAGTGTTTTATCTATTTAATGGATGTGATGAAGTTTCGCCCTTTAAAGGAAATTCGAAAAGCAGATAAAAAGGTACCTTTTTTGCCGTTTTGCGARCTGAAAAATGCAAGTACCAAAAGGTACCTTTTCCTAACGCACTGGTCACTTAATACTGATTCCAATAATTGAAAAAACCAAGCCAAATGACGCCATCAYGTGTTTATTTCTAACCAATATTACTAATGGCAAAACAATTCAGAATTATGATTTCCCCTCCTTTGATAGAAAAAGGTACCTTTTCGTACTTGCATTTTTCAGCTCGCAAAACGGCAAAAAAGGTACCTTTTTATCTGGAGCGCTGGAGTAATGTTGTCCCATTTCAGGCCACGTGTCATTCCCTTGAGAATAATATTCTTTGTTTGAGTTGTATCCATATTCATGTGTCTTCTCATGTGCAAAGAAATGATACTCTAGGGAATGACAAATGGTTTGAAATGGGAAAACATTACATCAGAGCCGAGCAGGTCTATTGTTAAATAGTATAATATCCTTGGGCCTAGTGTGATTCATATCATAATGAGTGATTACTATAGCCATGTGTCATCTTTCACTCATTCCTGATCGTTTGCCAGCTAGCAAGCAGACCAAGCTGAGCGGGTTTTGGGGCTAATGTGAAAGCTAAGATTACTACAGAAGTGTTCCATCTTTCATTCCTGATCACGCTAGCTAGCAAGCGGAATTATCTGCAGTCTTGGTACTAATGTGGTTCACATCATAAAAGATTAATACAGTCGTGTGTCATCTTTCATTCCTGATCACGCTAGCTAACAAGCAGAATTAGCTGAAGTCTTGGTGCTAATGTGCTTTTCATTCCTGACACGCTAGGTATGCAGGCGTGCCACTAAAGTCTTGGGGCTAATATAATTTATTTATATCATAATAAGGACTACACCCGTGTGTAATCTTTCATTCCTGACACGCTAGCTATGCAGGCGGACCACTAAAGTCTTGGGGCTAATATAATTTATTTATGTCATAATAAGGACTACACCCGTGTGTAATCTTTCATTCCTGATCACGCTAGCTGTGCAAGCGGACCAAGATAAAGTCTAGGGGCTAATAGAATTCATTTATATCATAATAAGGACTACACCCTTGTGTCATCTTTCATTTCTGATCACGCTAGCTATGCAAGCAGACCAAGCTAAAGTCTTGGGGCTGATATAATTTATTCATATCATAATAAGGACTACACCCTTGYGTAATCTTTCATTCCTGATCACGCTAGCTAACAAGCGGAATCAGCTGAAGTCTTGGTGCTAATGTGGTTTACAACATAATAAAGATTAGTACAGTCGTGTGTCATCTTTCATTCCTGACACGCTAGCTAACAAGCGCAACAAGCCGAGATCAAAAGGTGAGACATCTTGTTATCATGTTTGCTTCACCTTTAAGCTGCGTACCGTATTTATGTTTTCTTTGCTCAATTAATCTATATAGCTAATTATTCTTTCTTTCCTCATTCTTTGTGTGTGTCTTTCTTCCATCCATCCACCTTTTTTCTTTTTCGTGTCATTCTTTTTTTTTACCATTTCTTGCTTTTAAGTAACAGCCATTTCCCTCGTTCATGACTAACCCGTGCATGGGACTTCTCTATATATCTAATCTTCCTTCTATCTATAGAGCAGGGCTTTGTCTTCAATGTTCATTTGAATYTTTGCTTTTGCTTCAATATCATTTAAATCCACAACACTCAAAAGTCATTATAATACTTAGAGTACGTAATTAAATAAATGTAATACAATGATTATCTGTGTACATAAGGATTGAAGGATTTGTTAGTGATACCATTATATCTAAGCACCAAAAAATACCGAATTCCCACTAATTTTTCAGTTATATTTGATAACATGTCTCCTGGTAGTCGTGGGAAAGCTTACGAACGTTTTCAGCTGTTCGCCTAATTTCATTGTCACAACACGTAAAGACCCTTCCTTTAAGACTTTTGCTATATTCTTATCGCTCTGGGGCCTGAATACTATAGACCTTTAGCAAACACATTATCTTTCATGAACGATTTTATCGCCCATTTGGACTCTATTGATTTTTAAAATTTGTTCCTAAATTTCGATAAAAACTAAGACATCGACTTCATTTTRAAATTTTTCAGAAGCCAATATATCCCCGCATAAGAGATATGCCTACGTGAATTTTGTGTTCTAGGTACATATCTGGCGCGACATTAGGTTCATGTACGTGCTCATATGACGATAACAACAATTCAACAATTGCGTCCACAGACAAATGATTCAAAGTTTCGTGACTGGATTTAGAAAGAAAATAAAAGCGGTTTTTTTTAAGAATAAGAAATGATGATAAAACTATAATMTTTAATACAACATATAAATCAAAACCAATAAGGACATAAGAAGAAACTCATTTGAAATGCAGCCAAAGCCGGACAAATATTATGCCATCTCTTAAGAATTTTTTTTATTTTTTAATTTTTTTTTTAATTTCTTTTACCTCAAACATTTAAAACATGATTGTTTCCCTTTTACAAACTGTCCATCAGTTTTAACTACTTCGGAGGCTATAGAAAACTTCCAAAAATATACATAACAAAAATGGATGAAAATATAAGTTCCGTTATATACTTCATGAATCGCTTTGCTCGATTACTTGGGGGTCGTGAATACGTCCCTTGTTAATATATGTCAGAACAACATACTAAAGACCTTTTATTTTGAATAACCTCTTGATAATAATATTTCAATAATGTTGACTTTTGACTCCCCGGTTAGAGACTAAATTTTTCACTAACGACAGCCCCCACATGACGTCACGATCGAAGAGACTCGGATCGGTCTTCCCGCGCTTTAAAGTGCAAATGAACCCTTCGACAATACTTTCAGTACTGATTCTACAAGAATAAGTAAAATATGGTAAAATAAATGGTAAAATATTTCTGGAATTGATTGATTTGTCTTTAAGTTATAAAGGTTGATACAATCAATATGTCAATGACTTTGATGTCACCCCAGGCTTCATTAAATATACGAAATTGAACTGGTTCCCAAAACAGTTTTTAAAGAGCATCATTATTTTACTAATGGTTTACCTAAAGCTAATTTGTTTTCCTCATAATGGCCAGCATTGAGCATTACTAGTAAAACGAAGAAATACTCACAAATGCCTTACTTGACGTTACACTCATTAACATATTGCATGTATATTGCGACCTTCATATTCAAGATCTTCAAGATCTTCTTTCGTTTCTGTTAATGATAATATGATAGTTCAACTTGACCTTAATATATATTAAACTTAGCCGCGAGCCCAAAGACGAGCCTGGAATTRAGTACAAAAAAGCAAAAACATGGAAAAGATCCACAACGATCTGCACGAAGAAGGCCCTGCTTTGACCTTAGGGGCACCCCGTACACTGTTATTAGGGACCTTAAAGGACTACTTCGACGATACGGCGGACATCTTGGATTGCAATGCATTATGGGGCGTCGAGGGGGCAAATAAAGCTTTGCTTCAGCAATGACGTCGATTGATATTAATGGTTCACCACAAGAGAGTACAACCATAGATGAATTAAGACGGCACATCAATCTCCTTCACCCATAAGAAAAAGACAAACCAAACTCTATATTTTCATCTTTGTTTTGTTTTGCCCCCCCTTGGGAAGATGGCTGCCGTATCGTCCAAGCAGTCCCTTAAGGTGCAGCAGGACGGCAACGACAATGACGATGGTAAGCAAATAATATCACTATTTGCACTATTCAAATAGACTCTTTTGCAATTTAAAAAAAAAAAAACTGTACATCATTGACGTCTTATGATGAAAGTAATACGTGAAATGTCCCTGTTTTACGTAGAACGGCTACGCCAAACAACTATGCTGATTTTCGGTTAAAGTAAAGCGCTCCCAAAAGACGCCATTTCACTCTAAAACGTGGGTGCTTATTGAGTAAAGTACTAGACAAACATGAAATAATAATACAATAGAAGGCTGAATACCGTCCTTTAACTTACGGTCCTTACTACGAGAGAGACTGCCGGCTAGCTAACAATGCCTTGATCTTGACGTTGCCGCTATTTGCAATTAACTCTATTAGCTATCTAACTAGGCTGAGAGTTTCTATTTAATAATTAGACTACGAGGTCGAGTTTTCTATGAGTCAATAGATAGTCCAYGAGGCGCGTAGCGCCGAATCGGCTATTTGACTCAAAGAAAGTCTATTGTTTTAGCATAAACCTACTAGCTAATCTTTATATAACATTGAAAATAAAACATGATACTGAAAACTTTAACTGCACAAAGCGACGGTCAACCGGCAGCACTGTTTTCATTATATTTGCGAACTCGACTCAAAGTATCAACGTATGTAAAGCTTAAACTTGCTCTATTTTTATAGCTTTTYGTCTCTATTATTACTGTCAAAACTCTCTTTCTCTCTGTTCTTTATCTTATCAGTTCTTGGGATCATTTTTCTAATTAATGAGTGATAAACTGAAATGATTTATTTACAAATACTTTGTTGTCAGATCATTCAAAGCCGTGCCATTTTTACAATTTATAACGGATTCTTGTCAGTTATCTTGGACTTTCTTTATTGTTTCGTCTGTTCTTACCGTTT